CCTGAGCTTTCCTCTTAAAGAGCATAACTCACATCTCTGGTCTCTTAGAGATACAATATCTTTCCCAGCCCACATGAGACTGTGCCTCTGGTATAATGCAATTAATTTTTGTTTGTTTTTAAGAAATATTTTCCAACTAACACATTTCAGTGGGGGTTGTTGCCTTCAAAGTAGTAGCCAATTTTTGAGGAAAAGGATTTATTTCACAAATGATTAAATTTCTTATGTGTTTCCTTCTTGCTTTTGGAGGCAATTTCAAAATAGAAGCTTTAATTGTTTAGATAGCAAACGTTTAGGAAGAACCTCAGTATCGATCTTTAAGAGATCAGCTAAATAAATGATAGTACATCCAGGCACTGGCGTATACTCTGAAGTTATAAATGCAAGAGTGAGGAATAGTAATTATCTCCTGAGATGCCGGGTAAAGTGAAAAAAGCAAGGTGCAGAACAAGGTACAGAGTATGCTGCATTTGCAAATGAAAGAGAAATATTAAGGTATATCCGTATGTGCTTTGTTTATATAAGGAAATAGTGAATGATGCACCAGGAACTAACACAAGCTGTACCTATGGGACAGGGAAGAAGGCGGATGGAGAGAAGATATATGCTTTTTATGTCACTTTGTGTCTTGAAATATGTATTAACCATTTAAAAGAATAAAAACTTTTTAGCAAAAACAAGGATAAAGAGTGAATTTTAGCATCAGGCTGGCCTGAATTTTAATTCTTGGCCCTAGCACTTACTGCTGTGCTGTTTCAGGGAAGTTACTTAGAGTCTCTCTGTGTTCCAATTTCATAATCTCTGAAAAGTGAGATCAGTAAATCTACTTACTTCATAGGGACATTATCAAAATTAAATAAGCTAAAATTTATAAATCACTCAGTGCAGTGTGACAGTAAGTACAGAACATAGTTGGTTATCAGTAACAGAAGCCACAAAATTAAATCAACCTCATTAATTTATAACAAAACCTTATTTTTATAAATTCATATGACATACACTTTACCCAATTAAAGTGTAAATTCAATGATACTTAGTATAGTTTCAGAGTTAGGCAACCATCACCACAATTCATTTTAAAACATTTTCATCACCCCAAAGAGAAATCTGGTATCCATTGACAGTCATTCCCCATTTCCTCCCAATGCCCCCCTCCACCCCAGCCACCAGCCCTTGGAAACCACTTACCTACTTTCTGTCTTTTTGCCTGCTCTAGACAATTCCTGTGAGTGGAATCACTCAATATGTGGTCTTTTGTGGTTGGCTACTTTCACTTAGAATAATGTTTCTAAGATTCACTCATGTTGTAAGCATGTATCAGTATTTCATTCATTTTTATTGCCAAGTAATATTTCATTGTATGAATGTACCACATTTTATTTATCCATTCATTAGTGGGTGGCCATTTGGATTGTTTCTGAATCTTGATTATCATTAATAATGCTGATTTGGACATTCTTTTACAAGTTTTTGTGCAGACCTATTTCAATTTCTCTTGAGTGTATATCTGGGCATGGCATTGCTGAGTCATATAGGGTAACTCCATGTGTAAGCTGCCAGACTGTTTTCCAAAGCAGCCGTACCATTTTACATTCCCACAAGCGGTGTATGAGGGTCTTAATTTCTCCACATCCTTGTCAACACTTATTATTGTCTATCTTTTTGATTATAACAATTCTGATACGTGTAAAGTGGTATGTCACTGTGATTTTGATTTGCATTTCCTCGATGGCTAATGGTGTTGAACACTATGTCAAGTGCTTCTTGGCCATTTGTGCATTTCCTCTGGGTAAATATTTATTCAGATCCTTTACTCATTTTTTAATTGGCTTGTTTTTTTCCAAGCTTTATCTTGGACCCACTGTGTTTCACCATGCTTGATTACCCACTTTATTTACAAGATCTAAAGCTAAATATTGAGCTGCCATTTCCAAAGATGAACCTCATCCTCATCAAAGGATGAGGTCTTTTCCCCACTGGAGACATTCAACAAAACCTGCCACAAACTTGGAAATCAACTCCAAAATGAAACAAATGAAGGGACTCTGCAGATTTTTCTCTCAAGGAAATAACATTCTTTTGGATGTAGAAATTATACACACATCAGATCAGTGACATCAGTTTGTGATCAGACCCCCAAATTAGATCCATCCAGTGTTTGGCCCTGCTTTACTATTGTCCCCTCTGGTGCCTTTGTGGTAGTTTCTTCCTCTCTGCAGCCCTCTGGTCTTCTGTGTGATGTCTGTGGAATGGCGAGGATGTCGATCTGCGCTCTTGCTTGCTTGCATGTTCCTGCAAGAAACTCAGCCATGTCAGGGCACGTCCAGCTGTCTTTCAGGAAATGCAGTGCACAGCTGGGAACACCATTATTATACTTTCCTTCTGCTTGGTTCATGAGAGATGGGGGGAAAAGGAGCCTTACGTAACACACAGAAGCAGTACAACTTATTTTGGGCTCCATCAAATTTATCCGTAATCAAGCATATGAAGGGCGCCCTTAGCTTTTTAATAATGTATGATATTTCTAGGAAGAAAAACAGCTCAGGGATACTGAAAACTGACTATTTTTTTGTATAGCTAATGAGTATTAAATGTTTACTATATGCAAAGCAATACACTAATTACCATATCAACTCCTGACATTTGCTTCACAATAATCATTACTGTTGTTAGCCTCAATTTACATATGGAGAAACTGAGGACGAAGAATTTAAGTAACAGACCCAACATCAGGCACCTAGTAAAAAGCACAGGACCTCTGATCTGTCAGTAGGGATAGTAATTCCCTCTTCAGGGCAGTGATGTGATGATTTCACGAGATTTTATGTGGAAACTATGTAGGACAGTTCATGGCATATTCTGTGAAAGTGGGTTGGCCAACTTATTCCCTGAAGGGCTAGATAGTAAGTATTTTAATCTCTGCAGGCCACGTGGTGTCTGTTGTAACCACTACATCATGGGAGAGCAACCACAGACAATCTTCACTGAATTGGGTGTAGCAGTGTAGCAATAAAACTTTATTTACAAATGCAATTTCTTGGCCATAGTTCGTAGACCTGTAGTTCACAAGGTCAAAAATGTAGACTTTTGACATCATCATCAAGATTATTGTTTTATTCTTAATATCTTCCTTTTTGAACTGCAAATGCTTCCCTCAACCCAAGGGACTCTGTAGTATGGAGCCACTCCTGGGGTGTCCTTTTCAATGTCTGTCTTGGCTACAAATCCATGGATAATGTAAAAATGTAACAGCATCTATGAGGGTTGGGTAAATGCATGCAGTAGAAAGCAGTGTTCCAACTGGAGGATGAGGCACATGAAGATAGTAAATGTCACCATCTTCAAAGCCTTTCTATTTAGTGCCTACAAAATGAAAAAAGAAGAGCGTGATTGTTTACCAAGGCCAGTTATAGCTCATTAAACATTCGTGTTTCCCAAAGGACTTTTTCCACATTGTCCAAAGATAGGTGTTAAATTTTACTTGAGAATTGCATGACCAGATGGACTCTCCCAAAGCTCCATCTTTTGAAACAACACAAATTAGAAACACTACTTTCTAATCCAAGAAGTTTTCAGAACCATGTGTACAGACTGAATATTTTAGTCCTGTCACCCCCGCAATGATACTTCAGCAGCTGAAGTAGGCCATCGGAATTGGAATAGGCCATCTGGTCCACCACCTTGCTTGGAGAAGGAAGTCTTTGTAGAACACAGCAATAGAATCGGTGAGCACACTTGCAATCTCATTTACAGATCTGGACACTAAGACCCAAAGAGGATCAGAGGACAGTCCATGGTTACGCAGTGAGTCAGTGGCATAACTGAAACTAGACCCCAGTTCTCTTAATTCCGAGGCTGGTATTCTCTTCCCTCATTGTTTTTATTAAGGTATAGTTTATGTACAGTAAAATTCATCATTTTTAATGTACAACTGCAAGTGTACCAAATGCAGACAGTTGTAGAACCACCCCCATAGTCAAGCTATAAAAGTTCCGTAA